CCCGGGCAGCAGCGCCCCCTCCCGGGGAGGGAAACCGTATCCCGCGGGGACTCACCGCCCCCCGAGCTTTGGGCTTGGAGGCCCTCGAAAATCCTCTGCTTCCCGCCCCTGCCCCTCCTCAACCTGGGATCTGTCTCTGAACTTCTAGTCGCCAGATCCTTTCCTGGGGCTCCCCAAAATCGAGTGTACTCCCCGACCCGACCCCTCAACACTGCTTGGCCTTGATGCCCCCAGTCGGGATCTTTCCTGGGCTTGACAAGAACAAGTCATGGGATGCTTTTCCCCAGAGAAACCACGCTGAGACTCTGCTCTTTTTCTTTTTAGTCCTGGCCCCAAACTGAGCTTCTACCCCCAAACATGGTCCCGGGGATAGAAGCACCCTACAGACAAGCCTGTTCAGTACCCCAAGACTTGTCACTGCTTCCACATTGCCTTCGCTCAAATGTCTGGGACCCTCCTCCACAAAGAGAAGGATCTGTTTTTGTAACTGCCGCGCCCTCCTCCAGGCAAAGTCTCCCTGTAAAATGCGTGCTCCTGATGTGTCTGCCCGGTACTGAAGGACCCCCTGATCTTTCTTGCCCCTCAAGACTCTCAAATTCATCTCCGCCCCAGTGTCCAGAATACTTGTTTTTTGAACATTTGTCCCTGATATCCCCCCGACACGCACCACCACCATGGAAAGGTGGTTTCTTACCTCCTTCCCTTAAGTTTCTCAGGGTCTTTTTGAAGGAAGTACCCTTCCCTTCCCCCAGGAATGAGTTGAGATGTGGGTGGTGAATGCCTCTCGCTTTTCTCCCTGGCCCCATCTCTGTCCTGTTATCCCCCCAACCCCCAACTCTCCGTGTATCTCTTGGGGACAGAGGAATAATATGTCCGAACCCATGTTCACAGGCCGTAGGGTATCCGTGCTGCCCTTGAAGTAGCAAGGCTGGAACCCACCTTCACTTGTCTCGCCGTGTAGGGCTGTGTTCCCTTTTCGGCTGAAATTGTTTGCACGACTATTATCTGAATTTCGTCTTGTTGTTGCTGTAATTCACGTCTTGATGCCAGCAGAATCTTGAATTTCATTTTTAAGGGCAGTTTTATGTCTTGGGAGCCGCGCAGCAAGGTCTGCGGGCACCTTGGATCGCTCTGCACACGTCTGCATGTTGAGCCGCAAAAACAGCCATGCCAGCCCCTCCCAGCTGCTGAGCCTCCTCCAGGAAGCCCCTGGGCCTCTTCCCTCTGTGCTTAGAGGCGGTCCTGCCCGAGCTCCCATGGGATTCCGCAGGGGTCTGCGTATCCTCTGTTTCTCTGCGGTGGTTTCCTAGGGAAAGCCTCCTTGAGGGGATTGTGGCCTTTATTGTCCTTCTGTGCCCCGAAGGGCAAGCAGTGCCCCGTCATGGAGCCACGCTCGGAAAGTAGAATGTGAGAGCCTCCGGGGAAACTGACCCAGGAGGGTGGAAGGACGTGCCCGCAGCCCACTTGTGGCAGATAAGGGTCTGTCTGTGGGGCTCCGGCTACGTTTGAATGGATTTTCCTTTCCTCCTGGGTCGTGGCCCCAAAGGGCTCCATTTTTGTGTGTCATTTACAGGAAGTCTGGCTTTTCCCACTGCGTGACATCGGAAGAAGCAGCCAAAACAAGGGCTTGGGAGGGAGGTGGGCTGGGGGAGCTGCCTGGTGTCCGTGTGTCCTGCTCAGCGGCGGGACAGGGCCAGGCCTCTTCGCCGGGCGGCGCGGGGTCGCTGGGGCTGCTGTCCTGGCGGCACCAGTGTGTCGCCGGCGTTCATTGTCTCTGCGACACTTCTGTCTCGGGCGACGCTCCCGAATGTCCGAGGTCTCCCCTCCGTGACCTTTGTCTTTCCCTTCCCCCTTCTGCTTTCTAGTTCATAAAGTGCTGTGTGTTCGAGACCACACTCTGGGCCTGGAGAGTCACCCTCAGCGGGTACAGGGGAACCTGGACAAACCAGAAACCCGTCCACTGGGGACTGGCCGCTGCCTGGTCTGCTTTGAGGGGAGAAGCTGCAGGCCGAGTCGGGAGAGCTGTCACCACTGTCTGCAGAGGAGTCCAAGGGCGGCGTGTCACTGGACACCTGTCCTGGAGAGAAGACCTCGAGCAGCCCCTTGGCTAGGGGCCGAGGCTGCGCGTGCCAGAGCACGGGAGACAGGGAAGCTGAGGTGTGTGGGCCAGGCAGGAGCGGTGGCTGGGCGGGCAGAGGGTCAGAGAGCCTGGGGCAAGTTGGGGAGCAGGAGGACAGGGCAGGAGGGGCCAGAAGCCCACCGGGACGGGCGGTGGCTCGCGGCAGCCCGGCCGGGCGTTTCTCCTCTGCTCCGGGGCTGGCCGGCCCCCACATGGCCTCCAAGCTGCCCGCCGGGAAGGGCCGGGGGGAGAAGCGGAAGCGGGTGGTGCTGACCCTGAAGGAGAAGATTGACATCTGTGCGCGCCTGGAGAAGGGCGAGAGCCGCAAGGCGCTGATGCAGGAGTACAACGTGGGCATGTCCACCCTCTATGACATCAAGGCCCACAAGGCCCAGCTGCTGCGCTTCTTCGCCAACTCCGACTCCAACCAGGCACTGGAGCACCGGCGCACGCTGCACACGCCGAAGCTGGAGCACCTGGACCGTGTGCTGTATGAGTGGTTCCTGGTGAAGCGTGCCGAGGGCGTGCCCGTCTCGGGCCCCATGCTCATCGAGAAGGCCAAGGACTTCTACGAGCAGATGCAGCTCACCGAGCCCTGCGTCTTCTCCGGCGGCTGGCTCTGGCGCTTCAAGGCCCGGCACGGCATCAAGAAGCTGGACGCGTCCGGCGAGAAGCAGGTGGCCGACCGCCAGGCCGCCGAGCAGTTCTGCGGGTTCTTCCGAAGCCTGGTGGCCGAGCACGGGCTCTCCCCCGAGCAGCTGTACAATGCAGACGAGACGGGGCTTTTCTGGCACTGCCTGCCCCACCCCATGCCAGAGGGGGGCCCCGGACCCGGCCTCAAGCAGAGCAAGGACAGACTGACCGTCCTCATGTGTGCCAACGCCGCGGGCTCCCACAAGGTCAAGCCCCTGGTGGTTGGCAAGTGCAGCGGCCCCCGGGCGCTCAAGGGCATCCAGCATCTGCCCATCGCCTACCAGGCGCAGGGCCATGCCTGGGTGGACAAGGAGATCCTCTCCGACTGGTTCCACCACATCTTCGTGCCCTCCGTGAGGGAGCACTTCCGGACGGTGGGCTTGCCCGAGGATGGCAAAGCCATCCTGCTGCTGGACAGCGCGCGGGCACACCCGCCCGGGGCCACGCTGGCCTCCGACAACATCTTCAGCATTTTCCTGCCCGCCGGCGTGTCCTCGCTGATCCAGCCCATGGACCAGGGCGTCCGGCGGGCCTTCATGAGGAGCTTCATCAACCCCCCTGTCACCCTGCGGGACTTCCACACCTGCCACAGCATCCACGACGCTGTCTTCAATGTGGCCTGTGCCTGGGGCGCCGTCCCGAGCGCGGTGCTGCGGCGTGCGTGGAGGAAGCTGTGGCCTGCCGCCGTGTTTGCCACCGGCTCCTCGGAGAAGGAGGGAGCCGAGCGCTCGCAGACCCAGCTGCAGAGCAAGACTCTGGCCCACATTATCGAGCTTGTGAAGGACAGCCCGGCCCGCACGAGCAGCAGGCTCCAGAAGAGTGAGGGCGGAGAACGGGCGGAAGCTGGGAAGGAGGTTGAGCACAGCGTTGCCGCTGCAGAGCCGGCCCAGGTGGTCTGTGATTCGGGAAAGGCCAAGGGAGCTGGCGCAGAAGGCGGGAGCAGGGGCATCTGGGAGAAGGCTGCCGCCTCCTTCAACGTCATCCTTGACTTTGCAGAGAGACAGCCCTGCTTCACCCCCCAGGAGCTGGGCCAGCTGCACGTGCTCCATGCAGCCTTTGCGAGGCGGAGGCAGGCGAGGGGGAAGCACAGCGCTCTCGGGGCTGCAGTCAAGACGGAAGTGCCCCAGGAATGCTCTGGGGTGTGCACGGCCTCCGCGTGCACCCCTCTGCCGTCCACGTCTGTGGCAGCGCACAGCGACAGCTGACACGTGCCCCGTGTTGCCGCCTGTGAGCTCCTGCTGGAGCGGGTGTGTGTCCCTGACTGCTCCCTGAGGTGGCAGGCCCCTAGGACACTGCAGGGCTCTGCCAGGAAGGTGAGCGCTGGCCCGAGCAGAGTCGCGGTGACTCAGCGGTCCGTCTTTGCGTCATCCGGTTAGCTGAGGTTTTACTGTGTTACTGTCAGATCACATGATTGAGGAGAGTTCACCCAAACCTGGAAGGCACCAGCGTTGCACTCTGCTGGAGCCAGGGGCTGGACGGGCGGGGCTGAGTCCTCACGTTACGGTTCCGGGCCCCCGAGCCTGGCTGGAGACGAGAGGAGAGCTGCTCCTGGGCTGGCAGCGTCTGTACCGCAGGCACCTCACCGGCTCACTGGGCCCCCCAACGTCCCCCTCCCTTCCCTCGGAGAGCTGGGCCTGCTTCCAGGTGCCACCCCTGAGTGAGGTGCCCAAGGGCAGGCTGTGGGGCTGGGAGTCCCCAGGGGTCACAGCACACCAACACGTGCCCACTTTAGTCCACCTGATGGCAGTGGCTGGAATCATCTGGAAAGTAAGTCCATGTGGCCACAGAGCCTGTCCCTCAGAGTCTGACCCCGGGGATGCTGGCAGGCTGCATGCGGACGCGACGCTGCTTCCCACCAGAGCAGGGGTGTCGGGCTGGACCCCGCCGTTCTGGGGGAGATCCCCCGAGACAGCCCTGCCGGCCCATCTGCGTCGGGCTCTGTGCGGGCTGCTGCCTGGGGCCACATTCCCCACAGTCTGCACCACGGCCTTTCCGTTGACACATTTCTGCCAGGTGTTCAGCCAGGTTGACACATTTCTGCCAGGTCTCCACAGAAATCACTGAGGAGCAAGAAGACACGCTGCTTAGGCTGCCAGCGGAGTTTGAGCTCACTCTCAGCTGTCTGCACACTGCTGGTGCCTGGGGGCAAGGGGGCCACCTGTAGGAGCTAGCTCAGCTCTGCGTCATTGCCTGCTTGGAGCTGTGACCACGTGCAGCCCTGTATCGGCAGAGTGGCCCGAGTGTCCGGGATGGGTGTGTTTTCTGTGCTCTTCTACTGCTTTGCCCTTGAGCTCCAGCCCGAGTTCCCGTCGTGACAGCTGTGTTCCCGAGGCCTTTGCCTGCGAGCGTCAGCGGGACTGAGGGAGGGCGTTGGGTTTGCAGATGGCTGGGTTGCATCTCCTCATCTTCCCAAGTGCCGAGAGGGTGACGCTGAAATACAGCCGTGCTGTGGAAGCGTGAGTGTCTTGCTTTCATGTGTGCGTGAAGATGGTGACATCATCACAGTCGTCATAAATCCTCTGCCGAGCCTTGGCCCTGCGTCCTCTGTGTCCTGATGCTCTGCCGTCAGCCTCTTTGTGCCTCGGGGGTAGCGTGTGCACCCATGTGCTGTGTTTCCCAGGGCTCAGCGTCTTAGAGACTGCTCAGGTGTGCCAAGAAGACACACAGTATGCCCCTTCATACCACACAGCACACACCCTCACCCCACATGCACCGCACGCCCTCACCCCACACGCACTGCACGCCCTCACCCCCCTCTTTACTGCAGCTGAGACAGTGAAGGGAATCCGGAGCTTCTGTCTTAGCTGTCAAAAGGCCCAGGTAATGGAAGGTCCCCTCTGCCCACTGTGTTGTTCGTGCAAGCACAGGTGAGGGTGTGCATGAGTGTGCACATGTGTGATATGAGTGTGCACGAGCATGTTGGTGTGTGCCACGGGTTGGTGTGCCTATGAATGTGTGCTGGTGTGCATGTGAGCATTTGGTGTGTGTGAGCCTGTGCACAAACGTGTGTTACTGTGCACGTGAGCTTGTGTTGGTGTGTATCTGAGTGTGCTGTGCATGAGTGTGTTGGTGTGCATGAGTGTGTATTGGTGTGCCCAAGTGTGTTGGTGTGCATGTGAGTGTGTGTTGATGTGCACCAGTGTGTGTGGGTCTGCACTAGCACACGTGGGTGTGCATCAGCATGGGTTGGTATGTATGTGAGTGTGTGTTGGTGTGCACCAGCATAGATTGGTGTGCATCTGAGCGTGTGTTGGCATGCACAAGCATGTTCCTGTGAATATGAACATGTGTTGGTGTGTGTGAGCATGTTTTGTGCATCTGAGCATGTGTTGGTGTGCGCAAGTGTGTGTTGATGTGCACGCGAGCGTGTGTTGGTGTGTGCAGCGTGTGTTGGTGTGCACGCGAGCGTGTGTTGGTGTGCGCCAGCATGGGTTTGTGTGCATGTGAGAGTGTTGGTGTGCTGAGTGTGTGTTGGTGTGCTGAGTGTGTGTTGGTGTGTGCAGCGTGTGTTGGTGTGCATGCGAGCGTGTGTTGGTGTGCCCCAGCATGGGTTTGTGTGCATGTGAGAGTGTTGGTGTGCCGAGTGTGTGTTGGTGTGCCGAGTGTGTGTTGGTGTGCCGAGTGTGTGTTGGTGTGCCAAGCGTGTGTGAGCACGTGCACTATGGTGGCACTACGTGAATGTGCACCCCTGGATGCAGCCAAGAGGCCGCAGGAACAGCGCCCCCTTTCCACCAGCCCTCCAGCCAGGAATCCTCAACCTCCTGCCCCGTCTCTCCAGGAACCCTGGCTCCCTGTCATCTGCCACGGTGGCCTGGGCTGTTTCCGGGGTCACTGCTGTCCCTGTGCTCCCTCTGCCTGCACCCCTGTGCCTCCCCTTCTGAAGGGACACACTCCTTCCTCGGCTGACAAGCCGCCCCTCAGCCGCCAGCTGTGGTAAAGGGCTTATGGAGTTTCCTTATTGATCGGATTTTATTTACTGACATTAACTGGTGCCGTGGGCTGGTGGCTTGGCTTCCCGGCTCATAAATGGGATCAAACTGTCACTGTGATGCCTTTCAAAGGGATGGTTGTGTCCCCACTTTTGCTGTATAAACCCTCTCGGGCCGTCCTCCCTCCTCCCCAGAGTTCTCTGCACCTCCCCCCTCCCTGGCTCCCACAGCCCTTCCCCATGAGCGTGGCCGGCCGAGTGCAAGTTGTGGAAATCAGTCTCACGGGCCAGGGGATTCGTGATCAGGACGTGGGGGCGACTGAAAGGTCAGTGACAGCAGGAAGCCCCCAGAGGAGGAGAGGGAGAAGGTGATGTTATGGGAGTCGGGGGGGGGGGGCGCTGAGCAGGCCCTAGTGTGAGCTGTGTCCCCTCGAGCTGGCCACGTGGCCTTTCTGAGGGACCACCAGCCTCAGGTGATAGGGGGCCCCTTCTAATGTGCATAGAAGGCACAGCCGCGCTGACCCTGCCCCTCTCACCAGGCTCCCCCGAAGTTTTGAGCGCAGCCTGCAGTCAGGTGTCTGTTTTCCACCAGGGTTCTCCAGCCTGCCATCCCCCGTCTGCATCCCCGGCTGCTTCTCCCTGTGTGCCCCCCTCTCCGTCAGTCTGCCCCACAGCAGCCAGGGCTCCCACCTTCCTCCCCAGGCATTGCCAGACCCGCTGCTAACCTTCCGCCGCCTCTCCACCCCTGGGCCTCCCCAGGATCCTGCCTCCGGGATTCTGCACATGTGTCTCCTCAGCCTGGAGAGTTCCTGCCTGTCCTCTCCGCGGCCAGCTCCTGTCACCTCAGTCCCCTCGGAGGCTTCACTAGACACCTCGCCCTTGGCGGCTGGCTGATTACCCCAGATGTTTCCAAGACCACCCCCCAGGAGGCAGGAGGCGCGTTAGCACCGGCCTCAGTGCGTGGTGCTGGCACTGAGGGCTCAGCAGGCTCCCCTCCACGGGCCAACACCAGACCCTCGTGGCCACGGAATGGGAGGACGCCGGGAATCAACCACAGGCCACGCGCGGCTGAGTCCACGCTTGACCTGAACAGCTGAGAAAGGACAGTCTTCAGCCACTCGAGGAACATTGAACACGCTTGGGCCTCCGTGTTAAGGCTGGCGGCCTAACACGCATGTTTGCTGTGGTTTGAAGTCTCTGTCAGATGTTGTTAGTTGCCACTGAGTTGGGTTTTCAAGGGCTGGTTTTTCGGAAGCAGACCGCCAGGCCTGTCTTCCCAGGTGCCTCTGGGTGGACTCAAACAGCCGACCTTTTGGCTAGCAGTCGAGCACTTAACCGTTTGCGCCATTTAAAACGACTTGGTGTGGGGGGTGTGCTCTGAAGTCCGCCAGAGGAAAGGGGGGCTAGATCAGAAACACAGGGTGCTGCTGGAGTGACCGAGGGCACAAGGTGTCCTTGCCAGGTCTCCTGTGCGCCCGCCGCGTTCTCAGTGGTAATGCGTTCAGCCAGGCCGCCTGCTGAGAGCCCCAGGGATGCGAGTCATCTGGCCCAGGGGTCAGTCAGTGTTCACCAGGGCCGCCCCCTCGCACACACGGGGCGTTCTGAGGAGGGGCCCTCCCCTGGCTCCCTCGGGGTCGCTGACGTGCATCCGCTTCTCGACACAAAGGCCTCCTTCCGCTGAGCTGAAGAGGCCTTGATACCTGGGAGGTGAGTCAGCAGTGATGGGTGAGTAACTGCCTGGCGTCACACCTGTCACCATTGCTGCACTGGGGAGAAGGGAGAGGGAGGGAGGAAGGAAGGAAGGAAGGAAGGAGGGCCCGAGGTGCACAGCCAGGAGTGGAGGGCCCAGCGTGGGGCCTTTTGACCCCTGACTCAAGCTGCTTCCTGCCCCGCCCCCCCGGCCCCCGTGCACCTGACAGCGGGTTCTAGCTCCCTGTCACTGGCTGCCCCGCGCGTGGGGGCGTGGGGTGGGTGGGAGGCAACTTGTCCTCCAGGAACGGAGAGGAGCAAGGCCTGCCGGGGTCCCACAGCTCTGCAGCGCCTGGGTCTGGGCCTCCCCACACCCTGCACAGTCAGAGAAACCGAGGCCACAGAAGGGCACACAGCCTGCCCGCTCAGGGGGCTCCATCCTGGCCAGAGGTCCCCGACTCCTGGTCCCAAGACTCGGCTGCTTCCCGCCACCTCCCCTGCTGGGTGTGCAGGGTCAGAGGTGGGGGAGGCACGTCCAGACCAGGGCCAGTGGAAACCAGGGCAGCGTGTGGGGGAGCCTGATGCGGG